TGTCCTTTGAAGAAAGGAAAACGTTTTAAAATTAGACAAGTATGGGTTCCGAAAGGAACAAAGGGCATTGAAACTAACGTCCAAGGATCCAAAGCAATTTAGATACCAAAATCGAAATGAATGTCTCTTGTAGGTGTGTGGGAGCAATGGTGATGAAAGTGATGATATTCAAGATGCTCTAGCCACACATAAAAAAGTAATGGGTAATCTCTAAGCTTAATGCTTTTGATTTTGGTTATTTGGTTGCTCATTTGGATTTATGCATGCATGAGTTTTGATTTTAAATGATTATGCATTATCGTTTTAATATAATGTATGTTAAAAAAGTTTTATGATGAACATTTTAAAGTTTTAATGATTTTTCAAAATTTTTAGTTCATCAAAATAAAATTTGGTCAAAATTGGTATTAATGAAAATGATATCTCTCTTACAATTAATATAAACTTTTCAAATACTTTGATTTTAAATGAAAATGATCTCTCTCTAACAATTGATATCAAAATTTTAAATTTTTTGACCTAAATTTAAATGTTTATGCATGTGTTTTAAATGTAATAGATATCTCTTTAACAATTGATATCAAAATTTTCAAATGCATGATATTTTTGGAAAACTTTATGCATATGCACTTAATTTCAATAATTGATATTGCATAAAGTATTTTAGACTTGAATATATTGAATTTCATGTGCTACTAACATGTTTGTTATTATTTTTTGAAATTCAATTTTGCTTAAGTGTCAAGTTCTTAAAGCTAAAAATTTGTTTGAAATGCATTAATTGAGGGGGAGCCTTTGATTTTTCAAATGATTTTTTTAAATGTCAAATTTACCACTTACTCTTCAAAGTTATTTTGAACTTTAAAGGTTGAATTATTTTGATATAACAAAAAATGGGAGAAAGTATGGTTTGAAAATTTCAATTTCTTAAAATGAAAAAGGGGGAACTTAACATTTTCATATATTTTCCAACAATTGGTAACAATGGGTATCTTTTTAACAATTGGTATCCTTTTGTAAACAATTGGTATCTTTTTCATTAAACATTTTATTAAGGGAGAGTTTTGCCAAAAACAATTTTTCAAATGTTTTGTTATATCAAAAAGGGGGAGATTGTTGAACTATGTTTTGATATGACAAATTTAAGGCAAAATATTTTTGGACTTGAATTGAATTTATTCAAAGTTTTCAAAAGGTTTCAAAAATAATTCAAAGTCCATTAAATTCGGATTTGAGCAAAAATGCAAATGAGTACCGATACCCCTATGAATGGTATCAATACCCCTTATGAATGGGTATCAATACCCCTTATGAATGGGTACCGATACCCTTATGAGTATCAATACCCTGGGTACAAATACCCCTATGGCTGGAAATACCCTAGGTACAGTGGGCATCAATACTCCTATGACTGGGTATCAATACCCCTAAAACTAAATATAATTTGAATTTTATTAAGATAGTTCTATTATAAAAATATAAGTGTTTATAAAAAAAGGGAAATGAACACACACACACACACACACACATATATATATATATATATTCATTTCCCCTTAAATTTATGTTATACTATAAAATAAATGCATACATGTATAATAATACGGGGACTAAATCGAAACAACTAAAACAATAAGATACTATTGATTTATATTTACCCTTAAAATTTCATGAAATAACCAAACATAAGTGATGATTAAAATGAGTATGAAACAAAGTTATGAGGACCTGAAGCATAAATAAAACAACTTTGAGGATGTAACAAACGAGTAAGACTAATGAAATAAATCTCAAATTATCAAATATGATCAGGTATTAAACCAAGCTATGAATTCACATAAAAGGGGCTAAAATGTGAGTTTACATAAATGAAGGGTTCGGACACAGCAATATACCACATTTCATTTCACGATTAAAACAAGGATTTAAATAAATAAAAGGTCCTAAATGGTCATTAATCCATGCGCTAAAACGTACAATCCATCCCCAAAACGGCACCATTTCACGAAGGGGATAAAACCTTAGAAATCAGGCTAAAACTCTTAAACTTTCTCATTTTTTTTCTTGCATAAAAGATGTGGGAAAGTTTTCTCTCTAGCTCTTCTTGTTGGAGAAATGGCCACCACTCGCCGGCGCCCTCCTCCGCGCTCACGATGGTCGGGACAGAAACAAAATACCCCACAATGATCCTCTTTTTTCCCTAAATCCGAATTTGAGGTCACCTTTGCCTAAAACCCACCCCTAGAGTCTAGATCTAACAAGTAAAACGGAAAGGTTTAACTTCCTCCACCGTCAAAACCACAGTCCAATGGCGATGCCTCTGAGATATATCTTTTCAAACTACGAGATGTATATTTCCACCGCACGGATCTTTGATCTGATGATTAGAAGGTAAAGAATTGTTTTCCCTTTCGAATACTCCTTTTTCTTTTTTCCAAATGGTTGTTGTCTGTTCTTTTTTCCTTTTTTTGTGGTCTATTCAAATCTCTCTTCTTTCTTTGGTGGAGCTATGGCCGAGGTTCATAATTTCCGTAAACCCATATGTTAATATCCCTGATTTAAGATGATTTTTCTAACTATTTTATTGGGTTTTTGGAATTTTTCAATGTGAATGACGATTTTCTTTTGATTTATTTTACTTTTTCGTCGAGATGATGACGGTGTAGTAGTTGGAAATGGATATCATTGACAATGGTGCTCACGAACGCTGACGGTGGTGGCTCACGCGACGGGGAAGCCTAGTGGTGGAGCGCCTGTATCACACGCGCTAATCGGACAGTCCAGTTTCTTGAACAGCGGCAGCGGGTCTGTGCTGATTAGCGTGAAACCCTAATTTAAAACGCATCCGGGCCGTTGATCTTCATATAGATCCAACAATTGAGATTTGGCGGCTACATTGGAACATGATGAAACCTTAATCTGCTTGAGCTTGATACATACATGCTATCTCCTTGGGATTCTGTTTTGGGCTTGCAATTTGTCTTTGAGCCATTGATTTGTAACATATAATTCGAGTCTGCCTTGTGATCTGTTAACAAATGAATAAAAGTTAATATACGTATTTTATTTTATTATTATATATATATTATATTAGCATCAACTTAAATTTATGAACTTTTAATTAATCCTAATTACTGTTAACTTTTGTAATAATAATAATAATAATAATAATAACAAAATAATTAGCGAATACAAACGATTCAAAGTTTAAAAATATAAGTAATCTAATAATACTAATAAAAATAGAATAAAATATTCCGGACAAAATGTAGTTTCTACACTTATCATTGCTACCTAACACTTAGCGATGCTGAGTATCAATGTTATATGATACTTGGCGTTGTGCAATACCAAATATAGATATTATATACTAATTTGACGTTGTGTGATATTAAGTATATATATTATTTATGATGCTTGATGTTGTATGATGTCAAATATTTTAATACTTCATGCTTGATGAGACCAGATACTATAGTTTATTATCATCTGGCGCTAGGTGATGCCGAATAATCTACTGCCAATGAAACGATTGAGGATGGGTCATAGAGCCGTTGATTAATAAGTGATTAATAACACTCTTGAGTAGTGTGCAAATGAATTGATAAGTATGATATCCATAAAATAATAATGTTATGATCTATGATACTCTCTAAACTTGAAAAAATACGTTGAGCTTCGATAATTAACTAGGGAAAAGATATATTAAATTTAGTGTCTTTATGTTTATATCTGATTTTCATGGTTACATTTATGAACTTCATAAAATATAATAGAGTAGATGCATATCATTGAGCTTTGTTAGCTTAATGTTCAAATTACTTTTGTGTGCAAGCTAAATGTATTGTGGATCAGAATAAGACAACATCAACATAATAGGAATTTCAGTAGCAAACTCAAGTACAATAAATGAATACTTAGGTGGGCATGTCTGAGTTGTTTTTGGAGTTGAATCAATTTGTAATTTATGATATTTTTTTTTAAAATTAAATGAGCTCCAATTTTTTTATGACGGTTTTAATATGATGTATTGTTTAAAATTATTTTGAATCACTCCAATGATCAAATGCGACACTTGTAAACTCGTTGAAGATTATTAATTGGATTTAGGATTTTACACCTGAAGGCGTGTCAAAGGACTCAAAAAGATGAATTTAAATATAAAAAAAACTCCTTTCTGAGCTTAAAATACCTTCATCTCAATATTCTTTTCATTAGAAACAAAGGCAAACTTTTCGTTGGCTTAATTATAGAAAATCCAATTCTTAATACTTCCATGGTCAAGCTTCAAATAGAAGAAGGTATAACAACTATTTTTGTAATTAGATTCTTAATACTTTCAAAATGATTAAGCTTCAATAACAGTGTTATTTCAGTTCGTTATTTTTCCCTTCAAACACAATGAATCTTGATATTTCCCCTTCTTTTATTGCCCCTTTTTTTAGTCCTTGCGAGTTTTAGGAGACCATCGTTGAGATCTGTCCTGACAAAGCATTGGGTTTGAATGGTATGAATCTGACCTTTCAGAATTACTGATACATTTTTAGTGAGGATATTATCAATTAGTGTTGTATTTGGATCAATCAGTGTCTTTCTGCCTTCATTAAATGACACCATCATTGTACTCATTACGAAGAAGGAGAAGCTTAATAGTAGGGGTGTAAACAAGCCGAGTCGAGTTTGAATATTGCTTAGCTCGACTCAAATTCCGACTCAAAAACTCGCGAGCTTAAAATTATCAAACTCAACTCAAACTCGAAATATAATATTAAAACACGACTCAAACTAGAAAAGACTCGAACTCAAAAATATATTTAAGAGTTCGATTAAAACTCGAACTCAAACTTGATTAAAAACTCGATTCTGACTCAATTCTGAGCTTGATTCGAGCTCAAAACTCGATTAAAACTCAATTTTTGAGCTTGATTAAAACTCGAGACAGGACATGTTAATTTTTATTTGCTGAAAGCCATCCCTTTTTATACACTCTACCCTACCCCTTATTCTCCAACACCCACCGATGTGGGATACTGGCATACTATAAGCTTTCCAGTTGAAATCACTTTGGATTCAACAACAATATAGTTCTGGAGAAGAGGAGTTGATTTTGATATCAGAGATGATCTTACTACTCCGACTTTCGAGTCTAGTCCGAAGATACTTTCTGCAAAATCAACCAGTGATTCTAAAGATGTAACACAGCCCTGTACCTCTCCTTTGGGGGCTTCCATCTCACAGATCTTCAGTGTTTGTTTCATTGCCAAGGCTTGGTTAGAATCAGGGGAGAAGGAGAAGAACCAGAGCAACTCCGGTAGCTGTTCTGATGATAAAGGAATGTGATGGGTTTTCTGTTTAGGGAGGAACTGATAAAAGGTTGGGTCGTCTATGTAGGGGAAATAGATGGGCATCGTCTTCCCGACCTCAATATCCTTTATGGTGGCGAACACCTTGGCCGCTGGGTTCAGGAGATCATCCACCTCCATGCCTATGGCCATGGCCATACGCCCATACCCATGTGGGATGATGAATGACCATCTTGCAAAACACCTGTGCAAGTTGATACTTCGATTTCCTCTGTGCAAAACACCTGTGCAAGTAGTGTTTTTTTAGGGAGCCAAGATACCACACATTTGAAAATTGATATTGTTGATGAAAATGTTGACAGTTTAGTAGGGGAAAATGTTGATTTGAGCCAAGAAATTCACTTTGATGGTGAGAACTTGACTGAAAATGCAGTTGCAAGTGTTACCTCATATGTGCAGAAGCATTTAGTTTCAAACATGCAATCTAGGGAAGATGGGCGTGTTGTTGGAAATATTACACCTACTGTGGGGAGCCTTCTAATAGGACATTGAAAGAGAATTCTGACCTCCAGACGGTGGAAGAGTGCAGTGAGGGCTTGGTTGTAGAAAGTCCTCGGCCGACTAGGGGGTATCTCGTGTTTTAGAAATGGAGTATTAACATTTTAGGACCTGTTATATTTGTAGTCTTCTGATTTCGTCATTAATCAAGGTTTACGTTTTTATGATTCGGGTTGTTAATTTATTTTTATTTTATGTTTTGATCACCGTTTGTTTTGATAATGGACCTATTGATTGATTTGACCCAAGTGTGATTTATTAGTTTATTTACATATAAACCCTTGTTAATTTCATTAATTTCATTTTGCATAATTTGTATGTTACCTTCATGTGCATAACTTAACCCTATCATATAATCAAACTAAGGATTTAGGGCTTAGAGTTTAGAGTTTATGGTTTATGGTTTAAGATTTTAGATTTTAGGGTTTATGGTTTATAGTTTAAGGTTTATGTCTAGGGTTTATATTGTAATCAGATTAAGGGTTTAGGATTTAGGATTTAAAGTTTAGGTTTTATTTTTCTTTTAGTACCCTATCATATAAACAAACTAAAGGTTTAGGACTTACGACTTAGGGTTTATATTTTAGGGTTTGGGATTTAAGATTTAGGATTTAGAGTCTAAGGTTTAGGTTTAGGGTGTAATCTAACATGTGCTTAATTAAATGAGCTCTTATTTTTCTTTTACTAATATATAATATAACAATTGACTTGGGTTGCTTAATTAAAAAATATTAAAATTTGAGGATAGTTGTATTATAGAATTTTTAATATATTTTTAAAATTTTATAATTATCAATAATGTATTTCTAATAATTTTTTATAATGTAATTTTAAAAATCTAAAATTATAATATAACATTTTTTCGAGTTGCTCACGAGATTTTTGAGTCGAATATCGAGTAACTTGTTTCGGCTCGTTAAGAACTCGAGTCAAGCTCGAGTTCGAGTCGAGTCCATTCGATCCAAGTATTTATCGAGCCTTGATCGAGTCGATCTCGAGTAGCTCGCGATCTGTCTCGTCGAATTGTAATTTTTTTACAATGTGATAAACAAGCTTCATTTATTGTTAGAGTTGCATATCGGTTTCTGGTTGACCAGAAAAATTCAAAATTGTTGCGGAAGACGGCAATCGGATAGGGCAAAATCACAACTGATAATTTGAGAAAATAAAAATGAAGATAAAAGAGATACAAATTTTTACGTGGAAAACTCCTAAATAATATAAGGTAAAAACCACAGGCAACAGTAGAAGAATTTCACTATGAGAAAATAGGAATTACAACTTCTCTCGATCTACTAAGGAGAAAACAATGATAATTCTCTCTTGATAAAAATGAGAAAACAACTCTCAAGAAACTCTCTAAATTCTCTCTAATATTGGAATAAAGCTAGAATGCTTTAGGATGGTTTTGAAGCTAAATGAGCTAGGGTATTTATAGTTGAAGCTTAAGGACTAATTTGTAAATACCCTAAATTACAATGGCTAAAATATGATTCTACCATTGTTCAAAATTCAACATTTTCTGCACCCAATTTTTGACAATTGCACCGAATGGATCAGTGCATTAATGCTCCATTTCGGTGGCCGTGATATTTGACTTTTAACAAAAATTAATGTTCCAAAAGGTGAAAACTAATCAAACTGATGTACCACGATTGGGAGAGAAGAGGAAGGTCACGAAGAAAAGAGATTTGGAATCATAGAAGAAGGGTTAAAAGTTTCAAATGTTAATTTGGGAAATTTTGGAATTGATACAATTAAAATGGGAACACATGAGAAGTACAGGGACAAAGGAAATAAAAAGGGAAAGCCATACCTGGGAGTTGAAGAGAACAAGCCTGAAGAATGAAGCCCAACCATAAAGGACACATGTACAAACCGTTGGGATTGATAGAAGGATAACCAAATGTGGGGAATCTAGTGCATTAATCAAATAATAATATGTACTACGAGAAGAATATTTGTGACTTTCCTAAATGAAGTTTCTCATTCTCTCATCTATATTTTTCTCTTTAACCTAAATCCATAACAAATTGATATCATAGCCTAAATTCTTGGCAACTTGAAAGTTGGGTAAGTCGAAAAAGAACCAAACTATGGCTGATTTTGTTGACCTCTTAGCTATACAAAAATAAATTGAAGATTTAGCAAATATAGAAACAAACAGCTGATGAATCCAATCCTCCAAAATAGTGGAAGACATAGGACCACTGTTTAAGCAATCTAGAGTCAAGGATGACGACAAATTAGAGTTATGTGGAGCTGATCCTATGAATCTTGACTAGGAAAAAGGATGAATATGAACAAACGAGTTTAGAAAATGAGCAAGTAGATACCCCTAACATTCCTAAATTTGTTGGGAAGAAACTTGTAATAGTGAAAATTATAAATGATAAGTCATATTTCCCCTACAAACCTATTGAGACTGATATTCTTAAATCAAAGCTACACAACTTTTAAAAAAAATAAAAATAAACCAAACCTTAAGTTTGATTATCAAATGGGTGATAATAGTGGTATTAAAAACAACCCAATAGGGTTTGAAAGAAAAAAAAGAGTACAAGGAGGGTCCTTTAACAACTCTGGATCTATGTTACATAGACTTAAGGTGAAGTTACCCTTCTTTGATGGGATAAATCCAAGAGGATGGATACAAAAATGTCATAAATACTTTTACCTCTGTGGAGTGCTTGATGAATAGAGGATGGAGGTAGCCACGATGTATTTAACTAGTGGAGTAAAAACCTAATTTGATGGATACATTAAAGAATTTAGTAAACTGCTATAGAAAGGATATGTGGATGAATATCAAGACATATTTGATGAGTTGAAGCCCTGTATACTATTAAAAAATCTTACCTTAGGAAAGGAGTTCTTTGTGTTTATGTTTGTCAATGGGTTGGAAGAAGAATTAAAACACAAAGTGAAAGCATTAGATCCTAAAAGTTTGGCAGAAGCTAGCATACAAGCTAAGTTTTATGAACTTTCTATTGAGTATGAAAACAAGAGGCATAAATCAAACTTTAGAAACTCGCCCTACCAAAACCTAACAATGTTTTTCAAACCATCACCTAACCCAACTCCTTAGAAGATCAATCCTATACAAAACAATAGTAATCACTTTTAATATAGGTGACAAAGCAACTTGTTCTTCAAATATGAAGACAAGTTTGTTTCAACACATCAATGTAAATCTCACCAGTTCAATATAATGGAATAAGGGGATCCCATGAAAACAATAGATACTCCAATAAAGGTCATGGAGGAAAATGGTGTTCCAGAATATGGAACTTTGGAAATCTCTATGAATGCTATTACTTGGTGTGTTTGCCATAACATCTTGTGAATTCAGGGGATATTTAAAGGTAGACCTTTAATTATATTGTTTGACAGTGGAAGCACCCACAATTTTTTGACTTCTAAATGGGTAAATAAAGGAGTTCACTTAGTCATTATCCTTTGACTATCATTTTGACAAATGGGGAGAAGTTATTTAGTTCAGCCAAGTGTAATCAGGTTATATGTTCAACGTAGGGTCAAACATTTACCAATTATTTTATAGTTTTGTAGTTGGGTGGCAATGATATGGTACTTTGGGTGGATTGGATTAAACTTTTCAGTCCAATTTTGATTGATTTCAATTACATGATCATGAATTTCAATAAAGATAACAACACATTATAATTTAGAGCCAAAATACCTTCAAATTGCTACAAGCTATGTTTGAGGCTACACTACATAAGCAGACTGCTATAGACTCTAATCTAATGGGTTATTTTTTTTATGATTAGCATGGAGACCCTTGAACCAGAGATTGTAGTGGAACTATAGCCCTTGCTATTGCAATATAAAAATGTTTTCGAGGAATCTATAGGTATGCCACCAAGCAGGACTCATGGCCATACTATCAAACTAAAATTAGGCTCTACAATAATTAATCTACGCCCTTACAGATTTGCTCATCATCAAAAGGTTGAGGTGGAGAAAGAAATTGCTAATATGTTATCTTCTTTCATATTTAGCCAAGCAAAACTATTTATGCTTCACCTTGATTGCTTTTGAAGAAAAAATATAGCACATGACATTTTTGTCTTAATTATAGACAACTTAATACCCAAATTATAAAGAACAAGTTCCCAATTCATGTAGTTGAAGATATTTTAGATGAGTTACATGTAGTAGTTTATTTTTATAAGATAGACTTGTGTTTAGGGCATTGACATATAATATAAATAAGGATGAAGGTATCATAAAACAACATTTAGGACTAGCCATGACCACTTTGAGATTAAGGTAATGTTTTTTACCTTACAAATGCCCCTGTTACATTTTAGTCCCTTATGAATGAACTATTTAACCCTTATCTTAGGAAATTTGTCCCAATTTTTTTATGATAATTTAGTGTATAGCAACACTATGAAAATGGTCGTACAAAAATTTCAATATAACAAACGGTTTGTAAAGAAATTTAAGTGTTTCTTTGGAAAATCCTAAGTGGAGTACCTTTGACACAATAAATTATCACAAAGGATTTCAACTAATATAACAAAGGTTGCAACAATGAAACAATGGTCACTACCTAAGAGTCTCAAGTTTCGTAGAGGAGTTTTGGGCTTGATTGGATATTATAAAAG